AATGGCACAGAAAATGCCTCGAAATTTTGCAACTAGAGAACGTTGCTTGTTCAGAAAGCAGAACATAAGGTTTTACTACTTAAAATTATTAGCAAGACTAGTTTATATAACTTTGTTACTTAATGACATTGTTAATATAATTAGAAATGCCTTAATCAACTGAAATACAGAATATACCCAAGTTAGAAACATTATGATGCCAGCTAAAATTATACTTCTTTTTTTCTTCTTTTAAACTCATATTCGTTACAAGGCTACTGCATCTTGTGCTTCAGGTGGGTTGAAACAGAAGCTCAATAGTCTGTACTGTAATTACAAATTCACTTACATTTTTTCTATGGTGTTTGATTTGTTCCAGCTTTAAAAGATTCCAGTAAGAGATCCATTAACAGCGACTGGAAAATTGAGCTTCCTGGTGAGTTTCAGATCGCAGGCACTACTGTCCGGTACGTGCGAAGGGGTCTGTGGGAGAAAATCTCTGCCAAAGGACCAACTAAAATACCACTGCACTTGATGGTAACTTTATATCCTTTGTTTGTGTTTCTTAAGTCGTGCAACATAGAGGGTTTATATCCTAGCTGAAAGTTAAATTTTCATTGTTTGCTTCCTCACCAGAGTTTTTTAAAGGTATGCTGTAGCGCCTCTCTTTGCATTCTTGTCCAGCATTGCAAAGGCTGGAGAATCCCAGCTCCCTATTTAAAAATAAATGATGCTCTATTCTGGGAGAACATGCAGGGTCCCAGCAGACTCTTGTCCAGAACAGGATACTCCTATAATGCACTGCAGACAATGTGACAGGTCCATTCTAGAGGATGTAGGTTTCCAGGGGCCTGCTTTGTTTCGTGGACATTTCTGCTCACACACAGGAAAAGATATTTGCTGAAATATCTTCTCGGCTGATACCAGGACATATTTTGTATTTAAATACACCGTTGTTCCAAGAGAAAAGATGAAAATTTGGGATGTACAGATGATACATTTGAATTTGACCTTTTGTAGCAACTTAGTTGCACACAGAAATGTTCCGTTGTTTTCTTTATATTGTTTTTTTAATTTTATGTCATTTAAGATGTTCTTGAAAGTTTTTCCTAATGTTCAACATAGTCCCCTGGTTAACCAAGCATGTCATTTTATAAACAGTCATATGACTGCTGTATGAGAACACGAGTGAGAAGTCCACAGGGGTGAGAAGAACAGGATTGTAGTGCCAGCCCTGTCGCTAATGGCTGATGGGCTGACTCATGGGCCAGTCCCTTAATGTTGGTGGTTGCTAACCTTGATGTTTCTAGCTGTAATAATGCCTGTCTCCTATGTGTGTTACTATTTGAAAGTCTGCAGAAAGCTTTACAGTTTCTATAGCAAGGTTTGCATACGTAGAGTATTTTAATGTATGCAGTTTCCTGTAACTTTTTTATCCAAAGATATTTTTCTGTGTACTGTTTCTTTTCCTTGTGACTTTTTGCCATGTTTGTTCACTGAAGGCTCTTTGTAAGCACTGCTAAAAATCAGAAGTCTCTCCCTTTCCTCACCTGAATTTTTTGACTTGCTGGTATTCACTGTGCAACATTTCATGGTCCACTTTGAAAGGCTCAAAAGTTGCTTGAACTTTTCACACACACGAAAAAAATAATAGTAATACTCCACTTTGTCAGTACTTTCTCTGTGTCAAAATATGTTGCACAGGAACATGAGGTGTCTTGTCTTTGTTTTATCAGACAGATGAGTGAGTTTACTAGGTTCACATACAGACCAGTGTAAAGCTGAATTCAAAGAGGTTACTACTGATATAGCCAGTGGTGCAGGTTTGGGCACGCTGGCACCCTCCTAACTCAGCCATATAATTCAAGGTCTGCCCACAGATGGGAAGTGTATACAGGAGCCATCTGCATCATCAGAAAAGTCAGCTTCTGCTTGACTTTGGCCTTAACCCAAGTCTTCCCTCCTGAAACCAGGACTGACAAAGTATCTCGTACTGCCAAGGTCTTCCTAACCTCACGTAAGAAAAAGGAGTTGCGCAGGTACTGTTTGTGAAGATGCTGTGCAGGGTTCCTTTGCCAGCTCTTGCAGGTTTCCAGGGTGTTACTTTGTTGAGGTGTATGCAGTAAAACCTGGTACCAGAGTTTGTGAACTTCAGCGTCAGTAGAGCTTTGTTTTTAAAGAAATATTCATTTCCCCTTCATTAGGAATAAACAACTAGCATAGGAAACCAGTGATTATGAGGTTCTCCATGAGTATCCTTTTCACATATAGACTGGCATTTTCAGCACATATGAGCAGAGGAAATTTTCCTTCTTCACCTTCCCCCTAGAAATGATTAAAAAGGAGGAAAGTAAAAGTTACCAGACCATTAAAAAAAAAAAACATGTGGCTTGAAATCACTGCCAGTTGTAAACAAAGCACACGTGAAGACTTTTCTTTGAATCAGATATTAATCTTTTCCTTGATACAGGGTAGTGGGTTTCATTCTTTCAACGCAAGAAAGGCAGGATGGTTACCAGTTAGCTCTAAATAGAAAACTGTTGTTCAAACAGTGGTAGAATACACTGGACTGACAAAGAGCCAGAAGCTTCAGTCAGTCCATTGTGACCTGCATTTGAAACCAATTATACACACATACACACACACCCCAATTATATATGGCTACGAAATTGCCTGAAATTGGTTTCATATGGGCCTTTAGATTCACTAGTCCTGCACCCATATTGAGATAATAAGGATTTCTTTTTAGGAGTTGGTTTTTAATACTTGAGGCATTTCTCCAAATGCATTGCTGTAAGTATATTTCTTGGAGAAATTAATGTTTGTGTAACTAGGCCTGTGCTAGACCTCCTCTTGGCAACAGAGGACAACCAAACACTCCCAGAGCATAGAGATGCTTTAGACAAGACTGATCGATCAATTGTGTAGAACAAGCTGCTTGTATCTCATGCACTTAAAGAAAGCCAGAGCAGAACTTGAGTTCTCTGCCTCTGACTGCCTGGTACTTCAAATTGTGGTTTTTTTTAAAAAAAAAAAACATTCATCTTTGAAACTGTAATGATGGCTGGCTAGTTTCAACCTCGGTATTCAGTTCTGGTAGTAAGGCTCCCTCTGTAGCTGAAGCAAAATCCCATCTTTTTTCCCCATGTCTTCTGGAAGATGCTTTTCTGCCCAGGATTATGCACTGTGCAGAGCAACACATGGGTGCTGAGTTTGTGTAGTCCTACAGTATTCACTGCACAGACCTCCAGGATGTCAGTGGCCACAATCCGGACCCCTTCTTTCAGCATACAGTTATTTTTTTGGCTAAATGAGCTTATAACTGCTTTAGTGAGATTATTGGTTAAGTAGGAGTGATTTCTGCAAATCTGACAGGAAACAATTATTGTTGGGAGAAAATAGCATTTGCAAATTTGTTTTTTTTTTTCAATCGGGCAACTGCTTGCTTCACTTATGATAGCCCTACTTAAAATATCTTATTTGATAAGGTACTGCTCCTGTTTCAGTAGGTGAGAAGAGCCAGCAGAATTCACCTGTCTAATGCTGCTGAGATTATGGGATAAGAAGGCTAAAGCCACACCATCAGCATTACAGTAGTACTTCTATGGCATTTGTTAATGGTGTGGTAACTCAGATTCCATGGACCTCATACTCCATTGGGCATCTTCTAGTCATTTCTGACTCAAGCCAGTGAACATGAGAGCCAAATGAAGCCCAATACATAAATCAAAACAGGATCAGAACTGTCATCTGCTTGTGGTGAAAAAATAAGCCTTTTTCTCTGTTCCTCTGTCTTTGTTAATAATTGGGGAATTTTGGAGTAATAACACTAGAGACGTCACATGTGACTTCATGGGAAATAATCAGCCCACTGTTGAAAGCAGAGTTCACCTTCCTCTAGCAATATGCCGGGTATGAAAATATCTGTGTTGCCAGCAGCTGTGCGATACGGCTCTTCCTTGTCATCCTCAGCTTTCTGAGACAATAAAATCCTG